TAGATCTTAATATCCCTCCCCTAGAGTACAGACTGAACTTAGTGACTCACTTCTAATGAATAAAATTAGGCAGCTGTGATAGTATATGACTTTGGAGATGAGGTTGTAAAAAGCGTGAGCCTTCCCCTTGTCCTCTCTTGGACCACTCATCTGGGCAAAGCCAGCTAAACTGTTATGAGGTCACCCAAGCAGCCTAGAGAAGTCCAGGCAGCAAGGAACTGATACCTTCAGCTATCATCCATGTGCGTGAGCCATCACAAAAGCAAAACTCCAGCTCTAGTTAAGATTTCAGATGACTTCATCCCCAGCCAACCATTCCAGCACACACCAGAGAGACTCCAAACCAGAACCACCTTGCATAGCTTCCCCCAGATCCCTGACTCACAGAAACTATGTGACAATAAATGTTTATCGTTTTAACATGCTAAGTTTTGGGGGTAATTTTAACATAGCAATTGATAAATAGTTCCTATGTCACTCCATTCACAGAGTACTCATTCACTTGTGAAGAGATTTAAAAATTCAAATACTAAAAAAAAAATAAAAATAAATAATAAATCAAATATTGAATAATCAGGCACATTATGAAAGATAAAGTATGTCAGGTGCAATGAAATCCAGTAGCTTCCAAATGATTGTAAGTAACTACTTGTTCTAGGCTTCAGTTTCTAGAATCTCTTGGGAGTGGCAGGAAGTATGATAAAACGAGAGAGCTAATGCCCCATCAGAAGTAGAATACTTCTCAGCGCCACTTATTTTTGCCTGAGAAGCGTTAACCAGTTGTACTAGATCTTTCATTTTTTAAGAGAAGCAAGAAATCCAGATTTTATTTAAAATCTCACAATTTTTAAAGGTCATTAAGTAATCACATTAAAAATATATACCATGCAGACTGTAACATCTTGTATAAGCTAACTGTAAAGGGTAACAAACAAATAAACAAACAAAAAACAAGAAAACAATCCTCTGTGTGCTGTATCCAGCGTAGAGGACACCAGTTAGTTGCCACCTATGGTTTGATCATCATTTATCTTGGTAACATAGAATTATTGGGAGAATATGGTGGAGTTAGGGAAGCTAACGCCTAGTGTACCATTAGAGGCATTTGGCCAAAAAAAAAAAAAATCACCTGGTAGATCTGGCACAACTTGCAGAGGAGAAATGGTCTTTCTCCCAGAGGACAGGACATATAATTCTCCACCAAAGTTATCTGGTCCTAATTGGCCAGGCCTTGAATTCTGCCTGGGGTATATACAGAAAAAGAATGTATAAATGTGAAGTTCAGCTGTTGATGAAGAAATGTAACTTCTAGATGTAGAGCTTACACTGTTCCAGCAATGACTACCTCATTCTGTTCATTCATTCAACAAATACTTATTAGTACTGACTGTATGCCAGGTGCTGCTATGCGTGGTGGTGAGAATCCTGACTTCATCAAGCTTTCAGAGAAGCCAGGGAAACAAACAATAAGGGAGATAAATTAAAAAGTATATGGAGTGATAAATAACTGTTCAGGACAAAAAAAAAAAAGGCAAAACAGTGAAGAAAGTTAAGGAAGTATATGAAGCAGGGACATAGCGTAGAAATGAAATTTTACATTTTAAACTGAGTGGCCAAGGGCAGTCTTACTAAGATAGTGACTTTGGAGTGAAAAAACTGAAGTGTAGTGATGGAGGGAAGAATAAAGGAATGCATATGAACAAACAAGAACTGCATTAGTTGTTCATTTATTTTTCAGTTTTTATGTTATATTTTTAAATGCTTTGTTTTCAAAATATATAAATATTTACATCAAACTAAATCTTTTCAGGGGATTCTGTTAATTTATCTGGTCAGGCATCTTTGACATTCAAATGCATATTGTCTGCGTGTTACCTTTTCAAGGAATTAGGTTCATTTTATCAGAACTGATTACACATTGTGTACAATGACTGTTTGATGAAGACTCTTAATGCCTTTGGCTATGGACTGAATGTCTGTGTTCTCGAAAGCATATGTTGAAGCCCTAATATGATGACTTTTGAACATGGGGCCTTTAAGAGGTAATTAGATCATGACTGTAGAACCCCCACGGGTTAATGTCCTTCTAAGAAGAAACCAGAAAGTTAGCCTCTCTCTCTGCCATAAGAGGATATAACCAGAAAATGCTGGTGTCCTGATCTTGGACTTCCTGTCTCCAGAACTATGAGAAATAAATTTCTGTTGTTTAAGCCACTCAGTTGATGGTATCTCTGTTGTAGAAGCCCAAACTAAGATACTTTCCAGTTACTAGATGTAAACTGACTGGACTATGGCTT